AATGGCGTGAACCCGGGAGGCGGAGGTTGCGAGCGGAGATCGTGCCACTGCACTCCAGCCTGGGTGACAGAGCGAAACTCCGTCTCAAAAAGAAAAAAAAAAGATCAATACAAAGTGTCTGTGTTCAAATAAGTCCACGTTCACATGTTGGTTTTTTAATGCTATTAGCTTACACTGCTTGACCTTAACAGTTTTTTTCTAACAAAGTAGCATGGGATAAAGCCCATTTTCATGCTGTGTGTTGAGTTTTTTTTTGTTTTGTTTTATTTAAACATTAATTTTCCTGATGTAAGGAGATCTGTATGCCTCTTATGATTATATTGTAATTGACTTTGATGAAAACAGTAGTTCACAGAAGGGACAAGATCATTTATTGGGAGGACAAAAATCATTCTTTTAAATCAGATTTCTAGGCTGCCATGTGAAGCAGTGGAAAGTTCTGATCCCCATCTGAGCTTCATTGCTAAACTATAGCACTCCACCCTTGAAAATGAAACAGCCTGTGGATTTATTATCTAAATGGGCAATATGACTCTGAGCTACTGAGACGACCAAGCTGAGTCCCCCATGCTGTGACTATGCACGTGTTTATGGGCATGTACATACATATCTATCTTTATATAAATCACTAATAAGATGGGCAAGTGTCTAGCATGCAGTAGATGCTAAAGCAAATGTTGAATCTTTGTTACTCAGATAGGTATATGGACATTAAACTGCCTCAAAGAAATGTTTTAAGGTCTAATAATGTGAATTCAAAACATTTGAGAAATAAATATTTTCACTTTCCCTTTTTCTTATTCGTTTTCCTGTTAAACTATAATCTTGACACTTCCAATAACCTTTATGAGATTCTAGTTTCCTATTAACTGAAGGATAGTGATGTACTCAAAATCACCAGTTACTTGGAACTTTGTTTCCTTATCCTTCTGTTTTCCTTTGTTTTGGTTAACTATTTTTTATCTAGCTTCCTCATTCCAAGTGCAAAATTCACTGATATTACTGGAGACAAATTATGTAGCAACTTTTTTTTTTAGAATAACCCCATTTTTGTCAGTGTCTTTTAACCACTCAGTTATGTTGTCTTCTTCTGGTTGGGGGACAGCGTGGGGAGTGCAGACAGGAACAAGTAGAGGGCACACTGTTTAGGAGATCTTCTGTAAATAGAAGTTCTTGTCAGGCGCGATGGCTCACTCCTGTAATCCTAGCACTTTGGGAAGCCAAGGTAGGCGGATCACCTGAGATCAGGAGTTTGAGACCAGCCTGGCCAACATGACGAAACCCCGTCTCTACTAAAAACCTAAAAATTAGCTGGGTGTGGTGGCGCACGCCTGTAATCACAGCTGCTTGGAAGGCTAGGGCAGGAGAATCGCTTGAACCTGGGAGGCGGAGGCTGCAGTGAGCCGAGACTGTGCCGTTGCACTCCAGCCTGGGTGACAAGAGCGAAACTCCATCTCAAAAATAAATAAATAAATAAATAACTAGCACTTCTCTCAGCTGGGCTTTGGGTGGGTCTTTGAAGTTAGCGGTTTCCTCTGATGAGGGTCAGGAGTACTGGTGTTCTAGGTTGCTGATAAAGAAAGATTCATATGATCTGGAAACCGAGATGTAGGCAGTGGGATTTACTTCATGTCACAAACAGGGGAACTGCTTCTTTTCCTGGACGGGAGCGCTCAGCATCTCCAGACAGACCACAGAGAAAACTACAAGTAATGCCAGAATTTTCCACAGGAAGCTTCGATGGATCTTTTCCAGCACGTGAACAATTGCTCAATTAAATCCCCAGAGTTCCACGCCGTAAAGAAGGGCAGAAACTCTTCTGGCGTAGTTTCTCAGGGCAGGTGTTATCCATTGCTGGCTGTGGCTTTAGAAAAGCCTGGCGTTTCCACAAATCCCTGATTTCAGGCTACATGTTGCCTCAAGAAACTCATAAAGATGAGTGAAAATATGTTCCTAGGTACCTGGAGGGGTTGACTTGATCTAGGAGGTTATCTGATAGATCAATGGGATCCATATGAAACAGGGATTTTAATTTAGTTAATATTCAGCAATTTTATTTAGGAGTACTTTGATACCAGGATAAAAGTTACTTTTAAGATATTAATTTCGGCTGGGCTCATGCCTGTAATCCCAATACTTTGGGGAGGCTGAGGTGGGTGGATCACCTGAGGTCAGGAGTTCAAGACCAGCCTGGCAAACATGACAAAACCCCATCTCTACTAAAAATACAAAAAATTAGCCACACTGATGACGTGCACCTGTAGTCCCAGCTACTCAGGAGGCTGAGGCACGAGAATCACTTGAACCTGGCAGGCGGAGGTTGCAGAGTGAGCCAAGATCGCACCAAGGCACTCGAGCCTGGGAGAAAAAGTGAAACTCTGTCTCAAAAATAAAATAAAAATTTAAAAGATATTAATTTATATCATCAGCAATACCAGAAAAGCACGTGTTAATTTAATATCTTTGAAATTATATACCCAGCAAAATGTTCTGACAGAAGCAGGGGAGGGGAAGTGATTCTCCTAGATGTCGGTGACAGTGGGCATCTGCCACGTGCCAGGCAGCAAGCCAGCCTCTTCCACAGCACAGCACCAAATGCACACACCCTGCCTGTGAGGTGGCTCGCAGGCTTTCCATTTCCACTCATGAGGAGTCTGAGGAGCAGCAAATGAAGTGATGCCAAGGCCCTGCAGTCAGTAGGTGGAAAAGCTAAGCCTCGGACGCAGATCTTCTAACTGAATCCAGCTTTCTTTGAGATAGTCAAACCCAAGAGAAATGCTGGAGAGCACTGCTGGGCATAACCAGGGTATTTGACACATGCATCTCATCTCACAGATCTGTGAGACCTAATGGTAAAGCCTGCATGACCATTCACTTCAAGGCTCTACCTTTGCTTCCCCTGTTTAAACTGATTTTTTAAAGTAAAACTATGCCCTGAGATTGATGTCAAATACTAAGTTTTCCTCCCTCCAAGAATCTCTTTCTTCTCTCCTGCTAACTTCTATTCCCGCCTAAGGAACGCTAATCCTGGGCCCCTCATCCCCTGCCTTTCGGAGGCATTGCAGCTGCCTGGGAAGATGGGAGGAGGAGGAAGATGGTGAAGAAGAGGGAGAAGGAGAAGAGAGTGAGGGATGAGGGGAGGAAGGAGGCGAGAGAGATCCTTACTGATAGTATTCTGATTGGTCAATAAGAACTTCAAGGGAGGCTCAGCCTCTGTAGCACCTATAGTTCAAAAAATCATGAGGCTGTCTGTTAGGCTGTTCTTGCGTTGCTGTAAAGAAGTATCTGAGGCTTGGTAATTTATTAAGAGGTATAATTGATTCACAGTTCTCCAGGCTGTACAAGCATGGTGCTAGCATCTGCTCGCCTTCTGGTGAGGCCTCAGGGAGCCCTTACTCATGTCAAAGGCAAAACAGGAGCAGGTGTATCACATGGTGACGGCAGAAACAAGAGAAGTGGGCAGGTGCCACACACTTTTAAATAATCAAATCTAAACGACAGCACCATGCCATGCATGAGGGATCCACCCCGTGACCCAAACACCTCCCACCAGGCCGCACCTCCAGCACTGAGGATTATAATTCAACATCAGAACTGGAGGGTCAGACCCAAGCTATATCAGGCTGGGACTGTGAGAAATGGAAGGTCAGAGATTTCAAGGTCATCTAGTCCAATCTCTTTTTTACAGATAAGAGAGCTGAGATCTGGAAAGAGAGATGACTTGTCTAGGGTGACATAACTAGTCACTAAAATGGATGTCATTATTGCATCATGCAGAGATGTGTAGATTTTAAAGCACTTTCACCACCTCACTTCATTGCCTCACAACAGTCCTCTGTGAGATGTTTGTCGAATGTCACGTAAGCGTGCAAACAGTTCCCTTTTGACTGTACCACTATGGAGGGAACTCACAGATTATGTAAGACAAACCAAATGGCTTCTAAAACTGATTTCGATTCTAAAGTTAGTTTTCCAAATGAGGAAACTGGTTCAGAAAGGGAAATGATTGACCAAAAATATCATTGCTCAACTAATGATTGCACTAAGTCCAGAGCCCAGGAAAATTTCTGTACTTTTTATTCAGAAAAAAAGATGAGACAGGCCTACAGGACTAGATGAGCCACACTGGAAAAAGTTCAGTATTGAAAATATATTTTGGATGACACTGACATTTATTCTTGAAAGTTTTTACTAAGTTATTAGATATTTGAATATCATAACAAGTTATATATTCTAATATAATTGCATTGAACCTATATGAATCCATTAACATTTTACATAAATAGGCTTTTGGATGTTATTTAGGTCATTTGGTATAAAAGGATATATAATATTTATGAGCAAGGGTAGAGCTAGAAAAAAATTGTGTTAAGAGAAATTTGTATTAGTGTATCTTTTGCTTATAAATTAAAGATGCAAGTACATTAAATATGTAAATAAATTAAAAATGAAAAACCTTTATGGAAAGATAACTAAAAAGAGGTTAGAAGGCAACTTATAAATAACACATTTTAAAAATTTGTTTTTCAGGATCTAGTTCAGGTTCAAAATTAAAAGGTCCTGAACTGAGTTTAAAAGGCACCCAGCACGTCACGCAAGCAGGCCAGACACTGCATCTCCAATGCAGGTAAGTGACTGTGTTGGTTTGGGAATAATCTAGTCGCCATGCCTAAGGCACAATCATTCTCTGGCAGAGTAAAAAGGTAGGGACCTCAGTGATCTCCTGTGATCTGCAAAGTGCAAACCATACCCTCCAGCTTCCCATGAAAGGGGATTCATGGGGAAGGGAGAGCATTACTCACTCAGGGAAATGGGGGAAGGGATGCCCAGATAGTTCTGCGTCTTCATTCTGAGTATTGTTCTGCAGCTTTTCTGAATGTGTTGCTTTCCCGTAAAGAGGAAGATGACTACACTTAAGAGAGGACTTCCACTTCCTAATAAAATGAATACTTAGGAACTGGTGCTGAGCCCAGGGCCCAGCCATAAATACGTTTTGTTTTCTTATCTGTGATTGCAGGGGGGAAGCAGCCCATCAATGGTCTTTGCCTGAAACGGTGAGTAAGGAAAGCAAAAGGCTGAGCATAACTAAATCTGCCTGTGGAAGAAATGGCAAACAATTCTGCAGTACTTTGACCTTGAATGCAGCTCAAGCAAACCACACTGGCTTCTACAGCTGCAAATATCTAGCTGTACCTACTTCAAAGAAGAAGGAAACAGAATCTGCAATCTATATATTTATTAGTGGTAAGACTTCCATTTTCTACATTCTGTTTGCTGTTGCTTTGCAATGAGTCATAAATCTACCCTGGTCCATTGGAAGGATTGCTTTCCTAGTGAGTGTGAAAGAAACAGGTTAGGAAAGAGATTCCATCCTAGTTGTAGACACTTTCATGAATGTCAATTTTAACCAGAATTGTCAAGGCCTGGTCAGTCACTTGTGTGCTCCACAAAGAGAGAGACTGGTCTGTATAGGTGACCTCTGTACCCACAGCTCCTAGCACAGTATGTGGCCCATAGTTGGATGAATAAGTGAATAAAAGGATTTTAGTTCTATTCCTTAGTTATTGAGAAGCCCAAAATAGAATACATGATTTTTGTCATTTAACACAGCTGCATTCTCTTATATGTTGGAACTGTAAAATACTGTTGTTTCTACTAAATTAATAAACACAATGTTGCTGTTATCTTGAGTGTTATTTAACTGGTTCCAATGGACAATGTTGTATTATTTCATGTTCACTGAGGAACTACTACAATGACATGAGAACTGGCACTGACCAGGATACAGTGCAAAGGGTAAAAATGAATCATGTTTGATTCATTCTTTATGGTACTCGTAAAAAAATCATTTTCATTCATTCATAATTTTTATGATACTGTTTTTTCTTCCTTAGAGAATGAACAAATGAAGTAACATTCAAAGGGAAGAAATGCAAAATCTTTTAAGAAGTAGAAACTCACAGTAAAATCGGAACCCTGAGAAAGATTAATAAAAATGGCCTGTCACTTTCTTCTTCCTTGTTTAGTTCCAGTAAATTTTCACATCTTGAGGGGATTAAAGAAAAAGGCACACACACACAAACAAGGCTGTAGAGAACACGAAGCAATATTAGTAGGCATTTCAGACACAGAATCAGGTTTAAAAAAAAAACAAAAACAAAAGAAAACAACCAACCATCAACTTCAATAGCTAAATATACATTGTGGGTCTACCTTCTGGTGAGTTCAAGAACTGGGTCTTTGCATTGGAGGTAGTACAATAGAATTAATGTTTTAGTGAGGTAGTTTTTTTGGTTTTTTGTTTGCTTGTTTTGTTTTGTTTTGTTTTGTTTGAGATGCAGTCTAGCTCTCTCACCCAGGCTGGAGTGCAATGGCACGATCTCAGCTGACTACAACCTCCCCCTCCCAGGTTCAAGCAATTCTCCTGCCTCAGCCTCCCGAGTAGCTAGGATTACGGGAGTCTGCCACCACTCCCGGCTAATTTTTTTATTTTTAGTAGAGACGGGGTTTCACCATGTTGGTCAGGCTGGTCTCGAACTCCTGACCTCAGGTGATCCACCTGCCTCAGCTTCCCAAAGTGTTGGGATTACAGGCATGAGCTACTGCACCTGGCCATGAGATTTTTTTTAATTTGTGAAATAAGGCAACTAGACAGTGTTTTCCCTGAGCATAACATGTACATATCCAGATTCCGGATTAGTCTTAGGAGACAGCAGAACAGTTGCCTGTTATTGACAGTAACCTCTTTGTAGCTGCCATCAGCCTGATTTTGACTGAGCCACTTTCATGTCCCCAATCCTCCAAATTCTGTTTTGACATTTTGCACTTGGTCAGCGGGTAGAGATAACTGTAAGGGACTAACCATCCAAGCAGTTTGCCATCAAGGGATGCAGTCAGCTCACTTCCACGTAGGAGTGGGAGGTAGGCCGGGGAACTTTGCTTGGGGAAGTCATCCCGCTTCTAAAGCAGGGATGAAAGGATGGCACGCAGGAATAAGGAAGGGTGGAGAAGGTGCAGCATTAACAGCAGAGACTTTCAGAGAGGTACTTTTGCAGCTGAGGGGGAAAGAAAACATGCTTGATAGTGGTGGAAAAAGCCATATACTCAGCCATCTGTTCCCTTTCTCTAATTCCACATAGCATATTGTGTTCTTTCCGACATTTGTGGAGAAAGGAAAACACTGCAGTGAGTCACAGACTGCCCCTGTCTCTCTAGGGGAGAGGGAGAAAAATGTACTCATTCTAATATTTTCATAAAACTTTCTCCTATGGGTTTATCAGTCTGACTTGCAAATTAAACACTTAAATGAATAAAAAGAAAACTATCTCTTTTTGTTTTCTAATAAACAGTGTTCAGCTATTTTCACCTTTAACTCCTCAACTATTCAATAGACACCATGGCTTTATGGAGCCAGGAAGTACAAGCCTCTCCACTCAGTCCCCTACTATCACAAAGGAGAGACACTGCTACTTAGAATTAGTTCCATTTCAACTACACAACAGAGCAGATCTGGCAAACAATCATGACTTTGAGTGTCAAATTCATTGTTCATCTAAGCCCTGGGATGGCACAGTCCATGTCTGTCCTGGTTACTTTTATCCGCAATGTGCCTCCCTGGTAGAGAGCCTTGCACATATTAAGAAATCAATAATACTTGCTAAAGGAATAAACGAATGGATTAACAGGTGCTGTGTGGAATACCATGTTAAAATTGACATTGAGGATAAATTCCAGGCTTAGTGGGAAAAAGTGCCATGATTGATGATTGATGTCTCGTGTAAGACTGTGGGGGAGCAGTGGCCATTAGGTCATGTATTTATCGTGTCTGCCTTCCTGTAATAGTCCACAACCATTCGCAGAAAATGACAAGTTCCAATATCATAAAACACTTGCATAATTTGCTGGACATCAGGAAATTATCTACCACAAAGATTGTTTTTGGATAAGGAAGGATTGTGAAACGCATTGTATTTCATAGGTTATTATGGAATACACACATATATATACAAACATATACTGTGAATATTATATGAGCTCATTGGAAAAATTGGTATGATAATATTATGAGACTACTATTTTTAAATAGCACTGATACTAAAAGATGTTAGAATCAATAATGGTAACCATAGAAGAGCCTTCTGAATCTTGTTTGCTAATTGATTTAATCAGCAAATATTTAGGAAACAGTTACTATGGGCCTGTAACTGTACTACTGTGAATAGTAACACCTATTTTGTTATTTGTTTCCTGGTAGGGTGATATTGGTTTCATAATCACACCTTGTTAAAGTCCAAGATAACTGTGATATAATCCATTAAACAATCATAACTTTTCCGCGGAGCCTAGTATTTTATATATCTCTCTTTTCATTATTTTATTAACTCTCTCTCTGAGAAAATTTGATCTTCTGCTTCCATTGTTACTGAACACTTCCATGACAGGTTTATTTTAGTTCAGGAGCACAAAACTTATCTCTGATGACTCAGAGCATTGTCTCTGGCACTAATAAAACTCCAACCATTTCCTAATACACAGCTGTGATTATTCGCCAGATATTAGCTTGGTTATCATGTATTTATTATTGTTGAATATTTACTTTAGAATATGTTTGCGGGATTTCAGCCCCGATAAGCATCTGCAGATTATTGGGATTTCATTTTATTTTTCTCCGAGGATGAGTAACCGCATTTAGACACGTCTTTTGAAAAGGTAGATTTGTAGTCTAATAGCGTTTTAAGAAAAAGAATCAGGAGTGCAGCTCTGTCTACATATCATGAAATCCAGCATGCAAATTATGAACAAACTGTTACTTAGGCATTATTGACTGCCTGCTGCGTAACAGGCACTGTTCCCACCTGAGCACTGATTAGGATGTAACCTCTGATATGTAATGCTCAGAAAAATCAATATCAGCACTTTGTCATTCCAGCTTGTGTAAATCCACCAAACCTCTAGCATAATGTAGTAAATCAGTTTAAGCACCCAAGGAATTATATTTAACTACTTTACTTAATTACCGAATTATCTAGTAAATTTAAGTTTCCACCAATACAATAATTTCTTATATTTATTTATTTTCACTTAAACAAACGGTTTCATTTACTTTATGCCATTTAATCCTCACAACCATCCAATGAAGCATCATTCTCTTCATTTTACAAGTGAAGGACCAAGAATCCACTTCACATCAGGGCTCTGTGGGGAGTCATGGGAAAGTGCTAGCACTGGAATAAGGTGGTCAGCTTTTCCCTTCACATTCTCAGTGGCAGGAGGAGATCGGAAGGGGCAAGACTGAGGCAGGAAGACCAGATAGGGGCCTGCTCTGTGCATCAAAGCAGGTGGAAGGCGGTGTCCCGAGTTCACTTTGGTTGTGGTGGGGAAGGACAGTTAATAGAATTGGGGGATTCATTGGCTTTGGTTATCAGAGGTTTAGTGGCTGAGGGAAAGAGGGGAATCAGTGTGACACTCAGAATCCTGGAACGGGCCACTTGGTCCCACAGCCAGGTGGAGCTTTGCCACACTAAATTACATTGATGCAAAGGCACCATCATTATCATCATCCTCTCTGGATATACCCTTGGTATGGCTTTTGAATCATAATAGTGGAAAATATGGTATACATTTGTAAAAATTGCTTTCTTAAAAATGAATTGAATATAGCTACAAAATACCAGGTCATAAACAAAAAGTTGAAATGGAACTAATTACAAAGCACCTCCTAATTACAACAGAATACAATTCTTCTACCAATTTCTAGAAGAATATTAATGTTGGGGCTATTTAGGAGAACCTCATCCCCTTGGAGAGAAAAAGGAGCACTTTTGCACTTCTTTTCTGACACTCTGGTCTACACAGGAAATCGGCTCTAGGTCAGCCTTTTCTCACAGTTAGAAGATTTCATTGAAAATATTATTGTAATGTGTTAGTTATGACTGTAAAGTAAGAAAACTGACCAGACAAGTTTTTTAATGGCATCTCCAAAGTGTTTAAGACTTGTCAATATCTTTAATTTAGTTAGCAAGACCTTAAACTCAGGGTGTTGAGCTCCCAACACCCCACACCGTGAGGTTAGTTTATCTCTCTCTCACTAGCCGTAAGCTTCTAGGGTCTATTTAAACATAATATCTCCTCTTGAAAGATTATAATCGAAAAGCAAAAATGATGGGGGTGGGTGGATCCCTTCTAGTTCATCCCTGTAAAAGAAACTCTTCTCTTCTCTTCTGCTTCTCTTTACTTGATTGTTT